TGCACGTTGACCCATGTTTCCCTTAACAGTGGCAAGTGTATCTGTCGCCTAATCGTGATTCGTGGTGTTCAGCTTCCAATGCAATGACAAAACACGATTGGCGACCGCAGCACTCAGTGCCACAGCATAGGTAGTAATTTGTAGCATGAATCATGAGTGTCATATCCATAAAGTCAGAGCCAGCAGCAGATCCAGGGAGGGACAATGGCACGAATCCATGCCCCGAAGAGTCTCATGGGTTGCCTTTGGAGAATCCATGCCCTGAATAGGTCCATACCCAGCTGAACAGAAGTAGCGTATTCACCCGAATTGAAATAAATATTGGGCGTCTTTGTATCCCAAGGCGTCAAAGAACAGTCGCAAGCAAGGCGTACCCACGAGCGTACAAACATAATTAACCGCTAATTGAGATGGTAGTGATTGGGGTGATTTAAGGCTCATTACTCTGGCCAGAAGCTGCGGGTCAATCCGATTGCTAAGGAGCCTTCCACGTTGCCCTTGATCTATTTGCATTTTCTCCTGATGGTCCGACCCTGCTGTCGGGACCATATGTGCTAGCACGCTGAGGCACTCTTGTCCAGGGGTCAAAAAGTGTCTACTCGCCCACGAGCTTGGGAGACTCGTATGAGCGCGTGCCCATTCTGAAAATTAAATGAAACGCTTCAACCTTTTAAAGTTCTAACATATGCTTTCACGAAATGTTGATTGCGTTGAAATTGCACACATAACAGCACTGAAAGAGGAAAATATGTGTCACCGTCCTAGAACTCTCAGCACTGCGGTGCGAGGAGAGTTTGTTGACACTTTGTAGGCACATTCCACGGTCCCCTAATCTAATTAAGGGTTCTTTTAGTTCAGTTTTCGGTACGCTCGCCTTTCTTATTGTGCTTTGTCCCGAGCATAAAAAGTGGCCGCTTGCTGAAGACGTAAACACATCATAGCGCCCCTATATCAGGTCATGTAACCGCCAGACTGAGTTATCACTTCAGCTTGGCTTATTGCCAGAGTCAAACAAGCAGTCAGGTTAATAAAAAGGCTGAAACTATAATTTCAATGAAAAAATAGGGTGTATCGTCGTTATGGTAATTAAAAACTAATGGCGTCCTTATCATCTTTGCGCATATCTTTGTTCTAGTCAGAGTGGCGTGGTTTATCTTTAACTGCACCATTACGGCACTGAACGTTGTCAGTCATCTAGGCTGTATTCGCAGCGTACCAAGAATGTTATATTATATGTGACATCACGTAGAAGTTTGCCGGACGTATCCGCAGCGCAACTCGTTTCCTGTTTACATCTCCGTAGCTGTCGCGACAAAAAAAACACGCAAAAAAGCATGCAAAACACCATGTTTTCGTTTGCGGGTATTATGAGTACTCCTTATAATGGAAACTGCAAGTTATGCTCCTTGTCACGCCTAACACATCTTTTTATCGCTCGTAGTCTGCCCTGGACACACCAATTAACTTCTCTATGTTTTAATATGTTACGCCATCTCTATCTACTTCCGATCGGGTCGGCGAAAAAAAATTCGCGTGTCCGGCAAAGATTCCACGTGACGTCGGGTTGAATTTTCGTCGTCCGGGTCGCTGCGGAGACCAAACGGCGCAAAATCTTAGAAATATGACGTCATGATTTACGTCGACGGCATGGATTCTTTGCTGTCCAAATCGCTGCGAATATACCCTGGGTTTGTGTGCCGGTATGTGCTTCCCAGAGGGCTAGTGCAGAGCAGTTAAGTATTGGTAAATTTGAATATAGCATTGTGAGGGTGTACTTCGCCAGAGGTTAGTTGTCTACTTCATATCGAGGCGCATTGGTATGTGAACACGAGGAGTGCGAGTTAAATGGCAGGGATCAAAATCTTAAAAGCGTTACGAAGGCTTAGCATGTCGGTCTGCTTGTTCGGCGGAGAAAAAATACGGTTTTGCCGTTGGAGGCCAGTTCAAGTATTCTCAGATCAGGCAAATCAATTTTGCATAGATGTATGCCTAACAATACGTGTGGTGTGTGTGTGGCTGTGAACGGGGTATGCAGCTGAATATGTATAATGCTGAACATCTGTTCTTTCGTTATGTGAAGATGTTCACTTCGCCGCAATGCACGCCTGATAGAATGTCAACATTGGGCTTCAGTTTGGGACAGCATCATTGTGAAATTCTTGCATTTTATGTTTGAAAAAGGCACTGAAAATAAGACGGATTTAACAATAAGTTGCTGGGAAAGCACCTGAGCAAAATTTCATATCGGGATTAATGCAGGCAACTCTTCAGGATAAACACGGTATACGAAGACAAAGTTTTCGAAGGTAAGTAAAATTTCCAATTTTAAAGTACACCCGTCTGACAGGCAGTGCCACAAATGAAGCAAGAGAGCGCTGCTTCTGTGAGGCAAGATCCAGGCTAGGTGGTACACCCCATTGACATCTTCGCCAATTGCCATGCTTTGTCAGTTTGGAAAAGTTGATACCAGAAACCTAGAGCTGTTTCAAATAACTGTGACTTTCAGCATGTGCCTGATATGCTCAAATGTGAGTGTTTCAAATGTCTTGAAAGTGAAATGAAGGTGCCAATTTCACGAGTACTTTTGTGTCCAAGCTATGGGAAATTTTGCGGATGTGCTGTTACGGCATTATCTGCTAAAATGCCGGGACACTCTTGATCGATTAAGCCCTGCAGGGATTCTTCCCACCCGCTCGAAACACTCTATAAGCTTTCGCCGGGGCCTGATATGTTAACCTTCCAAGGTGCTGTCGGTTCCTCAGAGGTCCTTAACATTGGTATCGGGTTCTTTCCATTTACTCGAACGGCCCGGCGCTGTTGCTGGGGGCCATAAGCCAGCGTATTAAGGCCTTAGATGCTCAGGGGCCCCCTGCATTGATCTCTAGGAGTATTTCCTCTTGATCTTAATTGCAGAGGACCCTTCACTCTCATAGGAGCCCGCTCTGTTAACCTGTTCGAGCACTCTTGATCGCACAGGAGGCCCAGAATAATAGTCTTGGGCACTTTATATTTGCTCAGGGGAGCCTTAGCTGTTTCCGGGGGTCCTATACGTCCATCTGCCAAGGCAATCTCAATCACTCAAGGCCATTAATTCATGTACAATGGTTTTGGGCTGTTCCCGTTTGCTTAAATGGCACTGCGTTCTGCCTGGGGCCTTATATGTTAATCTGCCGGAGTACTCTCGATCCATATTGGTTTTGGCCCATCACATTGGTCTTGGGTCCTTCTCATCTGGTCGGAGAACCCTACGCTTTTGACGAGAGGCTCTTTGTTGGCTTGCCGCGGCATCCTCGGTCGCTTGATCGCTCAGTTGCCGCCGCAAACAATGTTTAAATTCCCATTTTATCGGAGCCTACGCCGCCTAATTGGCCTAAGCCATTGACGGGGGTCAAAATATTAATCGGCCGGGGCGCTCTTCATGGCTCTGGGGCCCTCCACATTGGCTGTAAGCTCTTCGATTAGTTCAGAAGGATCTTGCTCTGTTGCCGAGAGCCCTACATGTACTTGTGAGCACCAGGGCGCTTCGCCTGCTCACGTGTACAGGCCTGGCTAAATTACTTCATGTACATAAATCCGAGTTGTACAAGATGACGATTTTCCTTGGCACCTTAGCCTGAGAGCAGCATTCGTATATGCACTGAATATAATTTTACGCGCCGTCGACGTCCTATTTGTAATTTCGTCGGTTATTGCATTTATGACACTTAGCACGCTTGTGCATTTTGTTCGTAACAAATTTTGAATGGTGGTATATTGCATACACTTCCACAACAGACAAAGCAAAAGCTCTGCATTAGTTTGCCATCAGTTATTAGCTGATCACATCGACTAGACGGCTACCCGCTGGAAACCGGCTAGCCATCAATAACGTTGGAATTAAATGTCGTGCTTGATTTTGATAGTAATTAGCAGCCACATTTAGTCCATCTTGCCACATAGTTTCCGGAATACTTAGCCCTCAAAATGACAGGATCTACCATGATCCGGAGAAAATGAGCGCTCTTCATGTATGTACATACGTGACACGCTCGGTCTTCTAGGGCTGGACACAAAAGGATAGGCTAGATAGATGTAAAAAATAACATGCCTAGAATCTCAAAATTTAATGGTCGGAGCATGACGATTTTTGGGGAACCAAACTCCAGGGTAGCTGCAGTGCTGCGTGCTCCTCCCCCCCCCCCCTCTGAAGGGAATCCTGGACTGCAACTGGCCATGGCTGTCGTATGAAACAACACGGGCATCACCAACCAAAGAAAATGGAGTTTGTCACATAAAAGGACGTCGTAACATTGTAAATGAGAGAGAGAGAGAGAGAGAGAGAGAGAGAGAGAGAGAGAGAGAGAGAGAGAGAAGAGAGAGAGAGAGAGAGAGAGAGAGAGAGAGAGAGAGAGAGAGAGAGAGAGAGAGAGAGAGAGAGAGAGGAGAGAGAGAGAGAGAGAGAGAGAGAGAGAGAGAGAGAGAGAGAGAGAGAGAGAGAGAGAGAGAGAGAGAGAGAGAGAGAGAGAGAGAGAGAGAGAGAGAGAGAGCGAGAGAGAGAGAGAGAGAGAGAGAGAGAGAGAGAGAGAGAGAGAGAGAGAGAGAGAGGAGAGAGAGCGAGAGAGAGGGAGAGAAGAGAGAGAGAGAGAAGAGAGAGAAGAGAGAGAGAGAGAGAGAGAGAAGAGAGAGAGAGAGAGAAAGAGAGAGAGAGAGAGAGAGAGAGAGAGAGAGAGGAAGAGAGAGAGAGAGAGAGAGAGAGAGGATAGAGAGAGGAGCGAGAGAGAGAGAAGAGAGAGAGAGAGAGAGAGAGAGAGAGAGAAGAGAGAGAGAGAGAGAGAGAGAGAGAGAGAGAGGAGAAGAGAGAGAGAGAGAGAGAGAGAGAGAGAGAGAGAAGAGAGAGAGAGAGAGAGAGAGAAGAAGAGAGAGAAGAGAGAGAGGAGAGAGAAGAGAGAGAGAGAGAGAGAGAGAGAGAGAGAGAGAGAGAGAGAGATAGAGAGAGAGAGAGAGAGAGAGAGACTACTCACCGGCGGTGCACAGTCGGTTGTCCTCGTCATAGTTGTCGGGACAATCAGGCGCGCCGTCACACAGATACGCTATAGAAATGCACACCTCGCCTCCCGGGCAAAGGAATGGCTCCGTAGGACGGCACCGGCGACCTGCAACAACCGCACGGCCTCAGTCAGAGGCCAGCGACCGCGACGCAGCTGCCACAGCGGCCCGCAGCAGCTGCAGTGAACGGACGGCAGCAGTAAATGACATGGCAACAAACAATAAGCCTAGAACGAGGAAAGAAAAGGCAATGCTTTTAAGACGTAACGTACCGACAGCACCAACTCGCACAATGCTTTTCGCGTCTATGTCACATACTCATGTATGCGTGGCTGCTGAAGCGATGCGCGTAGATTTAGTGGCGGCGCGCCGGCCTCGGCCACTGAATGGTTAGACGTCACTGTGGACTGGGGTCTGACAAAAACTTAATCATACTTCCCTGACGAGAATGCTCCGCCAAGACCGCCTGAATGGATGCTAATGTCTTTCATTTGACTCCTCTTCTTCAGGTCTCTAGTTGAACCACCAGGTTCCGATGATAACTGGTGAATATCTGAATCGCAAACAATTCATTGAACTACCAGGATCCGATAACAAGAGAATATCTGAATCGCAAACAAGAACGAAGTGATTACGTTCTTCTGTAGCAAAACACAGAATGCCTCAGCTCACCCAGTGACCGTGGATGACAAATACAATTCCCTGAAGCAACGCGACTCACCGCGGACTAATGTCTACACTTCAGCCCGGTTTGGTTTGCTTCGGGTATGCAACCACCACGGCGAATCGCAGCAATTGCCTCTAGATCTCTTTGACAGTTATCAAGCCATTTTTCTAATTATGACACCATCAGCGCCACGGAATCCGGCTCAACTGTTGCTATCAGCGAACAATAAGGGAATTGTTGGTGGTAACGCATTTCGAACTAAGTTCTGGCCGTCCTGGGACTTAACGTAAGTAATGACAATTGCTGAGTACTAAATATAACATGCATTGTTGCTCTGGAGCTTCCCGTAAGTCAGGAATATTGTCGGATCTCAAATATTAGCCACATAACGAAGTGTCGTGTCACGTATTCAGCTGCGCATCGGGGTCCGTGAACCATGCCACCTGCCTTTTTTTCCACCGTGCACCCTTTGCATTAAGACTTTAATAGTTTCGCCGCTGATTGGAAGGGCGAGGCATTGACGGCGGTACCTTAAAGCATGACATACACATTGGCAGGAAATAGACGCTCGACTCCGGCAGCTGTCAGCAGACCTGCTGGAATATTTCGCAGCGACCGCTGGGCTTTCACGACAGCTCATTCACTTCGTGCATCACATTTGCTAACGAAGGACAAACACGGTGTACGTCATAGGATTTGTCTGTATGTGATTTGCAGTGACACCTTGCTCTCTACATGCGATAGGTCGCACTTCGGCGGCATTTCCTCCCTGTGTGCCGGCACCTATACAACGCCCGTGTATACAGCGCTAGTAATCTAATGAAGACGAGGGCGTGTGGACTAATTAGCTTAACGTCGCCTGAGGCTGAGAAAGGACGTGTTATGTCTGTAGACTGAGCAGTAGCGTCGTTTGCTTCTACATGTGGACGTGTCACGAGCGTGGGCTTAACAGAAGCACAGTCTACTGCTGTCCGTGGACGTGGAACTCCTGTAAACCGAGCGGTAGCATCGCGTGCCGCCGAATGAGGACGCAATACGCCCGTGGACTAAACAGAAATGTCGTCTGCTGCCGCTTGTCCACCTCCCACACATGTGAACCGAACAGCGGTACCGCCTGCTGGCGCGTGTGCACTTGCCACGTTCGCGGACCGAGCGGCATCGGCCGCAGAGTGCCGGCGCCTGTTGGGCTGCGAAGCGGACGCCGCCGCAGCGCTGGGTCGCCCAGGTGAAATCAATAGGCCCCAGTTGAGGGGATGGGCTGGACAAGTACTCCGTGGCTCCAGCCGGTGTTTCCGGGGCCGGCTCGTCGCCTTTGTCCAGGCGAGCGGTGGAAGCGGCGCGGTGTGCCCGTCACGAGGGGAGGGCAGGGAGGGCGACGACGGTGGAGACCCGCTAATGGAGGGAGCCCCGAGCAGAGCTGCACACGGAACGTCCGCGACACACTAACACACTGGGCAGCCGGGCGTCACTCGTTCCTCTGCCCACCAAGCCCTAAGGCACGTGGGCAAAGAGCGAATCCTGGGCTAAGGAAGCGCAGACAACGTCTCTGAACTGTTGGCACACAGTGGCTTGAGCACAGTACTATAAGTTTCTCCTTTAACCACGCAGCATCCTGTAGGCATCTAATAGCCCTTTTCGCGCTAGCTCTAGTTCAAAATTGTACAATGCTCCTGCCCAATAGACAGGAACATCATTCGGTGTTAAATATGACACGCGAAAACTGGTATGAATGTGTGTAAAGTTCATCGTTTGTTACCCCGTCTGAAAAACTGTAAATTTGGCTGGGGAAGTGGGTACTGTCATTATGTAACTACTCCCTACTCTGCTGCCACACATTTTGTCCCATAGGACCAAGACATAAACTACCTCAAAGGTGGAATGGCAACTAAGTACTTGATGAGGAAACAAAATACTTTCGGAAGAAAACATACTGGCTTTTTGATAAGCCTATGGTAGCGTTATGCGTATTACTGCCATTCATTCCAGTCCTCCCCCACTCTGATATTCTCGCGCATTCTCGCATATCAAATAAGATCACCGTCTGGTCCCCTCTAATAATGCTAGAGTGCAAAGCGCTATTATGTTTCGTCAAACTAGTCATCGAACTAGCACGAAATTCGAACCAGACCCTTCAATGCAGCCAGTCCTGCAAAGACGTACAAACCCTGTGGTGGTACGACGGCGTTCACCTGTTTGTACACCCTGCCATTTATAACCTGGAGTTTTACCCGACCAGTTTGTTTGTTTCAAATTGATACGATTTTTCACCAGCGTGCTGTTTTGTTAGAGGGAGTGACCCACATTTGTATGGGGTTTTAAGTTAATAAAGTCATCCTGAATATCATTCGGTGCAATTCACAGCTCTGCCTTCTTTAGACCTAGGCCGCTCTAGTTTCCGAGGTGCACGCAATTATGTGATAACTATTTCGGGTAAATCATTTTAAGGTCACCCAAGCATCCATCACGCCATAATGACGTCATTGAAATCCTGTCATTCCATTGGCAATTAGGCGCTCAAGGCCAATACAAAAATATAATTGACAGTTTGTCGTTGATATCTGACGTTCGTGAGCAGAATTTCCAAATATAACGGCGTTCATTTAGCTCTTAATCAATGATGTGCATGATACGATGACGCAATCAACTAATGACGTATTGAAGAACATACTTAGCAAACGGAGAAATTGTGTCGTATTTAGAGCAACCATTTTCACTCACAATCATACCAATAAATAGTTACTCACCACCATACTCACAAATAGTTACCAATATAAATAAGTAAGCTTAGTTCATGGTATCTGATGTTTGCTTTAATATCTTCAAATGCGGAACATTCTCTTTAAGTTGAGGACGTGCAGCACAAGAGATATTCTTCACTCGGGAATCCGTATACCCGTCCTCACAGAAAAGAAGGGACTTTCAATAAGACTACGCTGGAGAACAGACTGGGGCACTGAGCGCGGAACAGAACAGAACGACTGAGTAACAGAGCATACACAAATCACCCTCGGTCTTTCAGAGATCAGGCCTGCGGTTTCATGGAAGGATTGAGGTGAGTTATAAGTATCACGGATGGAAAAAAATGTTGGGCTATCATCCTCGCCTGGTGTGTCAGTATGTACACGACGTTTCGGCCAGTTTCCTCTCCGGCCGTCGTCGGGTAATGTGGGGTCCTGAATATGGCTGGATGATGTTTTGGCTTCGAGCCATATGTGCATTACATGTCCGATTCCCTTCATGAAGTTGCTGGTATTCATATCAGTGCCTCATAATTGCGAGATTAGTCCTGTACCAGCTGAGCTACCCGGAAGGAACAATCTTTCAGCTAGAATTTGATGTCATTTATGTAGTTTTATTTTATGTGTTTATATTTATGTCTTCTACGACATTTTAGTTGGCCTAACTGGTAGTAGAATTGTGCTGTGACTGGAAGCTCAGGTAGCGACCCGTTGCTGTTGCGTTCCGTTACACCGATGTCCCGAACCTGCTGGTGATTCCCTCGAATTGTCCATCTAGGGACGGTAGGCTGTTGTTTTCACGTTCCATAGTGAAATGGATAGATGGTCGCAGGTTGATGTGGTCGAGGGATTTCTTCGCATTTTCCTTGTGTTGGCCAGTAGATAAAGGTGTCGTTGACGTAGCGCAGGCATACTGAGGGTTTCAGTGGTAGACTTTCCATCGCAATGTCTCCGAAATGTCCCATGGAAATATTAGCTATCACCGATGACAGAGATGGTTGTTCTTGGTAGCAAAGGTGAAAAAATTATCCAGGTACGACAATGACTCCCTGTTCTCTCTCGATTTGTTTTGCAGTCTCTGCTAGGGGCTAGAACGACCAGGTGGTTTATTCGCGCGTTTGAGGTCGCGAAGTTGAGTCTTTTACTTAATATGTCTTCCTCACGTGGTTATAACTGTTTATCACTCAGATTTGCGATCACCTTCATTGGTTGTGGCATGGGGTTGGTAATTATGTTGCCATTGTTGAGCTTTTCTATCTTCTGGGTGTAGGGCTTCTTCACACTTGAAATTTTGACTGTGTAAGCTTTTTTTACCTTCAATGTGCGGTTGATATATTTTTCCGCTGTTACTAGTGATCTCATTTGTGACTTGATCTTTGCGACTGTTGACGTGTCCAGAGTTATCTTGTTCGAACGATATAAGCCTTTGCGCTCCCTTAGCAAAGCGCGACTCGTTCCCCTTTCTATCAGTCAGGCCAGCTTGGTCTGAATAGGGCCTTTCGCTTGCAGTCCTATTGTAATGATGTTCATTCTGTTCGGTCCCAATGAGGTCCATTCTCCTAATCTTTCCGAATAATATTAGCTTCTAACCAGTGTTTAAGCGCGGGTTGCGTCATTTTCCAAGACGAAACTCTAGTGACCCATCCGGTCACCAGCCTTCAGTTATCGGCACCGGTGACCCACCCGGCCACCAGCTTTCAGT